CCACCAGCTATTTTACAGAGATGTACCTTTACATATCTGTAGGTATATAAATTTTATGAAAATTAGATTCATAAATTAGTTTGAATTATATTCTAAATTCCAGATATATTAGTCCAAATAAATTTATTAGGCTAATATAATTGGATTAATTTATATAAGTTCAATATATATGGAATTAAAAAATTAGTCAAAGTTCATTGGGCTACAAGTGATGATCCCACCGGGAAAAATTCAAAAATAGCCAGATTTACAACTGGTCGTTCAAAAATAGCCCAATTTCAAAAGTAATCGAAATTTAGCCACATTTTATGTAAAGATAAATCTGAGCGAAAACACTGTTCAAAACCCGGAAAATACTCCAGTATATTATGCTGGAGTTCCAGCATAAGTATACTTGAACTCCATCATATTATACTGGAGTTCCAGGATAAGTATGCTGGAACTCCAGCATAATATGATGGAGTTCCAGCATAAGTACACTAGAACTCCAGCATAATATACTGGAGTTCCAGCAAGTATACTGGTCCAGTATAATATACTGGAGTTTGGAGCACCGGTGCTCCAGTCTCCAGTATATTATACTGGAAGCCAGCAAAATATACCGGTCCAGCATAATATGCTGGAGTTCATACACAAGTGCACCGAACTCCAGTATATTATGCTGGACCTGTCTCTATTGCAGCAAAACGGTGGCTATTTTTCATTGACTTGGTAAACGCTGGCTATTTTTGATTGACCGGTCCGAAAACTGGCTATACCGTGCTATTTTTACTTAATAAAACCAAAATCTATTTTTTTGGGTCAGACGATATGTAAGCTATATGTTAGTATATCTATTTTTCAAGTATAACCGAGACCATCTTTTTGTTAGAGTTACTTATATTTTTTGGGGGTTTATTTATTTTTAGAAAAGTGAACTTATTTTACACATATTAAAATGGAAAGATAGACATTTGATTCGAGAAGAAGAGGGTATCAAAGTTGCAAAAATACTGAAAGTACCCAAGATTGGAAATCTACTTTATTCTCAAAATATGAAAACATTGTTCAGATAATCATTTGGTCAAAGGTTCTCTCAATTGATTCTTTAAGCGAAAAAAGCAATATTTTTTTTCCTGGAGAGCCAATAGAATGGAGAATAGTTGAACAATGAAAAAAATGTAAAACAACACTACGTAGGAAGGAATTCCCATTATATTTGTGTTGAAATGGAAAAAGAAATTGCGGAAGTGTAACGACCCAACCGGTCGTTTTGAGCTTTTGCATTTTGATCGTCAGTTCTCGGGCACGACTTGCCCCGTGCGATATATTATGACTGATGTAGATCGTTGGTTTTGGTTTTCACGGAAATCGGTATGAATTTGAAAGAACAGTCTCAGTTGAAAGCTTTGATTTGAAAGGTTTGACCAAGAGTTGACTTATTTGTATATGAGCTCGGATCGGAATTTTTAAGATTTGGTTAGCTTCATTGGGTGATTTGTGACTTAGGAACGTGATCGGAATTGGTTTTGGAGGTCTGGTGTAGAATTAGGCTTGAATTGGCAAAGTTAGTATTTTGGCGATTTCCGGTTGATAGGTGAGATTTTGATCCGAGGGTCGGAATGGTATTTCGAGAGTTGCTGTAGCTTCGTTATGTGGTTTGTGATGTGTGTGCAAAATTTTAGGTCATTCAGACGTGGTTTGGTTGGGTTTTTGATCGAAAGCGTATTTCGGAAGTTTTTAGAAAACTTAGGTTTGAATTCGATGTGAATTGATGGATTTAGTGTTGTTTGAGGTGTTTTGAAGATTGGAACAAGTTTGAATGGGGTTTTAGGATGTGTTGGTGCTTTTGGTTGAGGTCCCGGGGGCCTCGGGTGAGTTTCGGGTGATCAATCAGACCATTTTCCATGTTAAAATGTTGCAGAAATTGATCATCAGCTGTTGCAGAAGAATTAGCCTTCGCGATCGCATGAGGTCCCTCGCGATCGCGTAGAAGGAAATTGGGTTGGCCTAAGTTTATGCTTCGCGTTCGCGTCTGAGGGCTCGCGTTCGCGGAAGGTGAGCAGCTTGTGCTTCGCGTTCGCAGGTGAAAGTTCGCGTTCGCGCATAAGGCTTTGGGTCCATGAGTAGTTGTCCTTCGCGTTCGCATGAGATGGTACGCGTTCGCGTAGGTTTAAGAGTCAGAGCATCGCGTTCGCGGGTAAGGTGTTGCATTCGCGAAGGGTTATTATTTGGGTCAAGAATAATTGTGCATCGCGAAGGCGTGGGTTTGACCGCGTTCGCGAAGAAGGAATTCCAGTGCTGGGCAGTGAGTTCATTAAATATTTCATCCGCGATTTTGAGCTATTTTTTTCCTCCATAGCTGAGTATTTTGAGAGCTTTTGATAGAGATTCAAGAGGGAATCAAGGGGAATCGATTAGAGGTAAGATTTTTGAACTTAAAACTCGTTTTTATTGTGTAATCTACCTAGAAATTCATGGAAATTAAGCCTAAAATTGAAGAACTAGGGCTTGGGATTTTGAAATTTGATTTAGGGATTTGAAGGACCATTTGAGGTCGGATTTGAGAACTTTTGGTATGTATGAACTCGTGAGGAGATAAGGAACCCGTTGATGTGAAAATTTCTGAATTTCGAGAAGTGGGCCCGGGGCTCGGGTTTTGCTAATTTCGGGGTTTTTGATATTTTTCAATTATTTTCGCTTGGGCTTTGTTCCCTTAGCATATTGTGATGTATTCGCTCTGATTTTGGATAGATTCGACGCGCGTGGAGGCCGATTCGAGAGGCAAAAGCGTCGCGAGCTAGATGGTTAGCCGGTTCGAGGTGAGTAATGATTGTAAATGATATCCTGAGGGTTAGAAACCCCGGATTGCACATCGTAGTGCTATATTGAGGTGACTTGCACGCCGGATAGCGAGCGTGGGGTAGAGCACCGTTGGGGATTGTGACTTGGTCCGTCCCGATTGATGATTTTACTGTGTAATTGACTGAAACTTATTTGTTATCATCATGACTTGGGCTGATTGCCATATTTGGGCTTCGTGCCAGCTATTTGAACCCCTTCAGGATGGTCGTTGATATTTCCTCACTGTTTGATTTTAGACTTGAACTCAGTCATGTATTTTACACTGTTTTCAAAACTCAGCCAAGTTTACTTGCTTTAACACTTGAAATGATATTTCTAATAATACTTTGGGCTGAGCATCATGTTTATTGTTGCCCGAGTGGATTATGTGATTTTGTTGACTGAGTTAGGCCGATGGCCTGTATTGTGAAGATACTTTTGGATCAGGCTGCACGCTGCAGCAATATATATATATATATATATATATA